ACGAAGCAAGAGCGAACCAAACGCACCAGACACATTGTGTTTGACACGTTTACGAAGGCCTGTTGGTGGAACGGCAGTCACAGGGGCAACATAAGGCACAGGTGTACACTCGGTTGGAGTGTTTGAGAGATGAACACGATCTGGCAGTGCTTCAGCTGTGTGTTCGAGCCCCATGACATGTTCATCCATGAATACTTCAAGTTTCCGGCCTGCTTTCCGCAGTTCAGCCACCTCCCGTGCAAACTCTGAGGTTGGTTGGAGTTGAAGTGAAGGGGAAGTGGGTTTGGAGGGTGAAACCAATGTCAGAGCGTGTGGAGATGATTTCGATGTGTTCGACGCATTCAAAGCGAGCGTGGGAGTCGGTGATGAGGCAGTAGGAGCAGTCAAAGGTGATGGAGAACTCGGAGCAGGAGGTGGTGTTTGAGATTTGGACAGTTCCATCCCAAACTCTTCTCCCAGTCTCTTAATAGACTCTATCATCTGAAAACAGACCTCTACCTGAAAACCTTCCTCCTTCACTGCCCAGCAACATCTTAATGTTGAATCCTGCACCACTGCCTCTGCCAAATCCCTACCAGCCACTGAAAGACCATGTTGTTCCCAGAGCTGCTTAAAGTTGACTAGCAGCTGTTGAATTCCCTGGGAGGAGAAGTCCAGGATCCCAGAGATGTGTGAGAGAGGATCATGAGGGAACATAGAAAGGATTTGAGAAAGAAAAGAGTAAGCCAGAGCCATGACAGAGTCATGGCTTGAGTTGTGCTGTTGTGTGGTCATATTGCTGTAATAGTCCTATTCAGGACAAGGTTGCTCAAAAAAGTGTAAGAGCCCTGACTCTTAATGCCTCAGACCATGAGCAAGATCTCGTTCTATTAGAGAAATAGACCGAAACGAGTATGTGGTACGAGGATAAGAGTAGACTAATTATGTAATATCGGCGCTAACGGCAATGAACGTGCCATAGGCGTTACATGATATCAGATTTTCGGTGATCATTCTATTCGCATTCTGCTTTTCCTTGAGTACCATGTAAGCTTGTATATAATGTATCCCGTTTTGGTTCTGCACAACACTAACCCGCTTCGATTCGAATTCAACCTTGCTCTGATCCTTGATCTTGTACTTATTTTACAGCAAGAAATCGGGTATCATGGCGGCCCATCATGGGCCACATGCTAGTCGATGCCAGTTTAAATGATAAATGATAATCGATGAAAGAGAGTTTGTGACACAAGGTTTGAAGGTATTAGGCATGCGCATGTAGGTGCATGTGCCTTGCAATTGCCATCTTCTTTTTGCATCTTCTTTGCATCTTCTTGACATTGTTGCTGTGAATGATATGATTGTGGGTGATGCGCGCGATGAATGCTCGGCATCGCAATTCGCTGAGTTTTTTGTCATGATCCACTTGGAGGGTTCGGAGGGTTCTGATTTTCTTGGATGTGCGGTAAATTACTAGTCTGTTCTAGTCTATTTTGGCATACTTATCTGGCATACTTATAGATACTTATAGATACTTGCGTATTCGGTTCAAGTTCGAACTCCCACTGAGCTGCTTATTGGTTCTTGAAAGAACCAGTAGCAGCATTCCCGGCCCGTCACTCTTTGCTCCTTAAAGCGTCGGTCAAAGCGGTACATCGCGACCGAATTTGGGTAATCCGGGTAATCTGTTGTTCTGATCGTGAGTAGCTATAGCTCTAAGAGTGAAGATAAACTTGACGAGGTGACTATTAGAAGGTGTATCAAACTCGTATCGTAGTACTTGTACTCTTACATAGCACCAATAGCAATTTGTTTGACTTTCATGCTCACAAGCGGTTCCAGTTAGGCTTTTAGGCTCTAGTCCCTCAACTTTCAAGCTCAGGCGCTTTAACATTCTTGGAGAAGTTTCATACATACCCAAGCTTTGTATAGACCGATTTGGAATGAACAAAAACCTTGGGTTTATGCGCTGAAGTGCTGAAGCCGGAGGGACAGTTTTGCCTTTGAGAGTAGGCTATTGGCCCCTCAATAATATGTAGCAGCCGCTGTATGAATCGCATGTGTAGTCGTGCAGATCTAATTTATCCTTTTCTTTCCTGCTTAAAAGTCACCAACAACTGAGTCACGGTATGCCAGCCTCCAGGACGGTGACAAATTCGGGTTCAAGCTGAAGACTCGGACAAGCAGAGAAGACACAACTCAACGATGGGTTATTCCAGACCCAAGGCGGAAAGAAGTTGGGAAAAAAAGAAACTTGCTTCTAGAAACTAAAGTATGGGCCCACCCGGATTCGAACTGAAATCTCCTTTCACAATTTCGACAAGCTGAGTATACCAAATGTACTATTAGACACTCTAGACCATGTGCCCACTGACTACAGGAGTTAAGTTATCGCACACTTAAGAGTTATTGGCCACTCGATAATGGGTACAGCGGCCGCGGTATGGATTATTTATGCAGCTGTACAATATGCACAGTAAAACCGTCGGATCCCGCAATGGACCAAGCAAGGATGAGCTGTCCTCTCAAAAAATTTCAACCATCCAAAAACATTACGCAGTTGAACCATACAGTTAAACCATACAGTGATTGCAAATGGGGCGAATCCGGATTCGAACCGAAGACCCCCTGCAAGGGGATGGGATGCATGAGTGCCTACCCAAAGCAGGAATTGGAATTGGAATTGATTACACGGCCCATTCAGCCTCAGCTGAAAGCGGTCCCCCGAAGGGAGCTAGCCGGTCCCTACGCCAGCGCGGGCAGCGAGCTCGACTCTCGTGGAGAAGGTAGACTGCAAGGCCAACGCACGGATGTTAGCAAGGCCAGGTACATACGTACAAGGCTAGCTGTTACGATTACTTATCTACAGCTTAATGGAGCACATTTTCCCCATAACCAAAAAGAGGGAGAGTGCTAGGGTAAAACCAGATCCCCATGCAGGCGTAACCGCACTGTGGCCTTAGTGGCTCTTGCGAGATTTATCATACCTCTAGACCATACGCCCGATGTTATATTAGCATCTTTCTGATGGATGTCTTTGGCTGCAACCTCAGATACAACTATGATTCTGCATAGCGGGAGGATGGTGTACTGGAGAGTCAGAGACCGAGTCATAACTAACTTGAATCATATTCAAAAGGGATTGCTTCTGGTACAGAATAGACTCAGGCTGTTGGTTTCTACAATCTGCCAGTACTAGTGCTTCTAATACTTACCCACAACCTGTCTATCCATCCTATCCATCCCAGTGGTCCATGCCACATATACAGTGGCATCGTGTCCTTGTCGTCTTTTGACCTGGTTGTAATTTCATCATCACCTGGTGTAACCGCGTGTTCATCCTGTCCCTGCCATCGATACTATCATCTACGCGTTTCTTATTACCTTTCACACTTAGTAACAGTTAGTAACATCTTTGGTCTCGGTGACGTTAGTCTATCATTGTATTCCGACCCGAGTACTCGCATATATTTTGTTTTGCACAACTCCACTTCAATTCGAATTCAACTTAGTCTGATCTGTGCTTTTTTTTACAAGAGGGGATGAAGAGGTATTGGGCATGCACGTGTAGGTGCATGTGCCTTGCCATCTCTCATTGTGAATGATGTCGATGAGTGCAGGGTACGATATTTCAATTCTTCAGTGAGCGCATTTCGTCACTATTTGCAATCTTGGTCAAAGCGGTACATCGCGGCCTAATTTGGAAAAGTTGCATTTGGGTTAGTGTGAGTCTAAGAGCAAGGATGGTCATTTGTTTTAGAAGATTTATCTGCTATACATAATATAGCAGTCTGTTTGATAGACTCCAGCCTTTGCTTGTGCGCGCTATATCAAATTCAGACATACTTATTCAAGCTATGTAATTGGGAAAATCGCCGTCAGAATGGTATATAGCCTATTCTTTCTCTTTCTTTCACAAGAGCCATCAACGACCTACACGGTAAGTATTAGACGAATCTGGGTTCAAGCCGATGACTAGCACCTCAATGATAGTTTATCCACCCGAAGCAGGAACCATATTGTTAGTTGGAGGAAAAGAAACAACAATCAATCTTGTAGTCCTTGATGGGGCCACCGGGATTCGAGCCGAAAACTCCTGCAGTTGAGGAAGGAGTATACCATTACCAAAGGTATCATATCCTCTCGACCATACGCCCGCTGACTTATGTAACAGCATCAGGACAAAGTTAATCCAAGTTGAGTAAATTCATTCAGAATGAGCAAGTACTTGCATATGCTTTGCCTCGCACAACCCGCTTGCTTTCGAATTCAATTTGTGCTTCTTTTACAAGGGGAAGAGTCGGAATGAAGAAGCAAGATATCATCACATGCCACTGTATGTAAATGAATCGATAAAGGAGAGTTTGAGACACAGGGTATTAGGCATGCGCATGTAGGTGTGCCTTGCCAGCCATCTTCTTGTTGTGAATGATGAATGTTCGGCATTGCTGACTTCTTGTCACTGCAGGGCTCTAAATGTGCAGTATTCTATTCCTATATTTTCGGTTTTTCGAATTCCCACTGAGTTGTGCATTTCGTCACTATTTGCAATCTCGGTCAAAGCAGTACATCGCGACCTAATTTGGGAATTTACATTACCGGTTAGTGAGCTGTAGGAATGTCACAAGAGCTATGCATAGAGTAGCTCTACTTAAGAGTGGAATGGTCATTCGTAACTAGCTGTGTATATGTACTAGAAAATTTATCAAGTTGATATATTATTCATAGCCTGAGTTCATTCGACTTTCATGCTCGTAAGCGGTTAGGCTCCAGCCTTGCTCGGGCGTTTTATGAGGAGTTATAATTCAGTTGCATCGAAGCTAATTGAGGTAGGTCTGAATTGGCATTCAATAGAAAATTTATCCTTTTCTTTTCACAAAGTTGAAAGCCCCCAACAACTCACACGCTCACACGATGAGCCGAAGACGAAAAATATGTAGGTTATCTACCCAAAGCGAATCATATTGCAATTGTTAGTAGAAAAAAACAACGAATCTTGCCTATTGAATGTAGACAATTTATGGGCTCACCCGGATTCGAACCGAAAACTCACTGCAACTGCAAAGATTTATAGAGAAATATAGCAATACCAAATGCATCGTATCCTCTGGACCATGCGCCCATCAACTTAAATTTTGAACCCTGAGTTTAGGCCTGAGGCTGAATCAGTGAATGGACAGACCTTGAGAGTTATTGGCCACCCGATAATAGGTAGTATAGCGGCCGCGTTGTGAACCGTGTGTGTAGCCGTATAGGACCGTCAGGTCCGAAGACTCTTCCTCAAATCACTCTCAACTTGTGTTGAGAGGTTCTGTCTGCTAATAGTTTAAATGATAGTAAAATAAAAGATTGGGCGTGATTTTACTATACTAGAATTCAGTTCAGTAGGTTATGTTAGCTACCGAGGCGAAACGAGGATACGGTCTCAAAAAATCATTAATAAAATGTGTATATTTCCAGTAGAACGGGGCGAATCCGGATTCGAACCGAAGACCCCTGCAAAGGATATGTTACACCCAAAGCAGGTATCATACCTCTAGACCATACGCCCGATAATAGTATGTCGTCCAGACGCCATTTTAGTTAACACCGTGGTTATGAGCTTCATGATAGTAGTAACCTCATAACTACTTTGAAATCATATTAGGAGATTGTACCGGTACAGAAAGGACTGGTGGTTTGAGCTTGGACGCCAAGTTCCTGAGAGCTTCATGCTACATATGCGTATCGCGAGACAGCACAGCGAGACGCCTGTTCAAAATGACATTTCAGGTGTAGCATGACCATCCACGACGTGTAAAGGCGCTCTGCACGTAACGTGGGCCCCAGTACCCTAGCATGGACCACCCGGCCGGCTTCCTTCCTTCCAAGGACCAAGTCAAGATTTTCCATCGCGTCTGCATTTTCATGTACAATCTAGTTTCTACCCACAACACGAATTTTGTAATCTTGTTTGAACGTCTCGAAATCTTTTTCCTTGTTCTCGTACTGTTCCGCTAGTGTTTTTACCGCGGTGTGAATCTATATAAGTCTGTTCAGCATCGTCATTGAAACGCAGTAAACAGTAATCGTACTCCATCGCGATTGGTCTGTAATGCTGGAACAACGTCTTTCACCGTACGCTCAACTAGAACTCCACCGATAAGACGGAAACATTTTCGATCTGGATCATCTTGAAGTGCCTCAGTGAGGGTATTGAGAACCAGACTAGCGTAACAATGAGGAAGCTTTACAGATAAAAAGACAATACTCACCTGTGCTCGTCAGCTTCTGCTTCGAGCTCACCGATCTTGGTCGCTACAGCCTGTAAGTCTGACTGGAATTGACTATACTTTGTTTGTATTTCTGGCTTGGTTCCAGTGAGCTGCAAGGTTGAAATCATTTCTTAAAGCACTTACCCTGGTCGGAAAGAGGTACAATCTTCTTTTTAGTTGAAGCCATGGTCGCTGTCGACAAAGAAGATTGTGCTGATTGGCTGTGAGTCACGGGGTCTGGAGTCCGTGCCCCTCCGCTCGTTCCTCAACACTCATCATGTCTTTCGCCCGCCAGGCTCTGCAGGTCGGCCTGTCTTCCAGAATTCGTCTGTCTCCCACCTTGGCTTCTGCAGCTATTCGATCTGCTGTCGCTCAGCGTCGCCTTCTCCATTCTACACGATGCGCTCATGCTTCTCTTCCCAAAGACGACACAGAGCATTATACAGAAAGTTTGCACAGTGACATGAAGCTTTTACATGGCAGATACCAGGAAACGCCACTGTACGCTGACCTCAACTCGAAGGAATATGTCCAAAAGTTCAAATCCGGCGAGAGAGCCCTTGATAAAGCTGTCCATCTCTTCTTTCTAACTGAAATAATGCGGGGTGGGTGGCTCGTGATATTCAGTAGAATAGTAAACTAACGCACTGTAGGCATGTGGATCGTTATTGAAAACTTTTTCCGTCCGCCGTATACGATAATGTATCCGTTTGAAAAGGGTCCTCTATCGCCTCGTTTTAGAGGAGAACATGCACTTAGAAGGTACCCGAGTGGTGAAGAGCGTTGCATTGGTGCGTTCCCGGTGGTCCGCGTCTTTTCTGTTATTTATAACTCGCCTCCCAGCTTGCAAACTTTGCGAAGCCATTTGCCCTGCTCAGGCGATTACAATCGAGAGTGAACCTCGTTTGGACGGCTCTCGTCGAACAACGAAATACGGTTCGTGTTTCTGTTCCTCTTGCGGGCATCATCTTGCTTATCTGGCATCGTAAAAGACATCGACATGACCAAGTGCATATACTGTGGTTTTTGCCAAGAGGCCTGTCCTGTCGATGCTATCGTGGAAAGTACGTTCATTTCCGGTACTTAATCACGTACGAAACCCTAAACTATTACCCCCGCTTAGCTCAAAACCAGGAATTCTCCACTGAGACGCGTGAAGAACTCTTGTACAACAAAGAAAAGCTATTGGCTAACGGTGATCGTGCTGAGGCGGAAATTGCGGCAAATCTACATGGTTCGCTCCATTATTGTCCCTACGCAACCAAGGTGCTAATCAATATCCCTCTCTGCAGCCGACCACGTCTACCGGTAAAGGTAGTTACAACTATCACCGTAATCACAGCCAAGCACGGGAGCTTGAAGTAGTACATGTACTGTTACCCTACCGGCGTAAGAATTATTCGGAATAAGACAAATTTCTCTATTTGTCCCCTTGGATGGTGGAGGCAAGGATTTCAATCTTTGGATGCAAGCCCAGCCTGTTTATCGAGCACAAAATACCTACCTCCAAGATGCTTCATCTTCTTTGGTCTTAAAATGGTAGTGGTCATCGGTTCTTGTTGCTGTACTCCCGATGGCAGGACTTGGCAGGCTCAGATTTATCTGATGTAAAGGCAATGAACAGTATGCAGCAAGGTCTATTCATTGGGCTCAGTACTGCTTGGTGCCTGGTAATGTAGTTGGTAGCTCTCGCTGTTAAAGTTGAATTACCTTTTCTAAACCTGAGGATATGATTTTTCTGAATATCCTATCTGATGGTCCCCGACTTTGGGTTCTCTTTTTTTCCTCTAGATCTTTTACAGAACAGGTCCTTCAACGTAAACCGCTTGTTTTCCGCCGCGTAAGCTACTGTTACTCGTTTCATTAACAGTTGACTGTTCTATTACTCCTCTGGTCATGTAGATCTCTTACAAGATGTTTTAAAAAAAGACGCATATGAAAGAAGATGATGAACGGCCTCTGGGCTGTTGCTTTCTCGAATTTCTCTGGGAGAGTGCAGCAACAATTTGATGAACGAGTGCTCATTCGAACAAGATCTTTTCCTAAGATGAAAGAAGATGAATGGCCTTTGAAAGCTGTTTTTTTCTCGAACCTTCCTTGGTGTGTAGCGACTCATTCATTCATTCACCTATACACTTCTAATTCAATTATATTATTGTAGGTTGTTCTTTGTTGTTCTCGACGGATATCATCATGGATCGGGATGAATACTTTTGACTACTTTGACCGCTATGACTTGCCCACACTATTACCTGTGCAAAATCCTAGAATAGTCTGGGATTTCTTGACAGGATTCCTTGATATAACTGCCTTACAGTAGTAAGTCACAGCGAAAAAGACAGGCGTACTCGGAAAACACTCGGACTTGGACGCCTATCGCGGTGGTTACCGAGTTAGAAAGTTCGATTTTGTGCATGCTGGTCTTGTGTCCAGCAGGTCATCTTACCCTACCGTCGTAATGGGGTGCTGCCCTCTCGAGACAAGGTCGCTATGTAAGTACAATGGTACGAAAGTTTTTTCTCTTTTCTTGCCGATAATTAGGGATCATGCCGCCTCTGTTAACGTATATCACATGTACATACCTATCATCTATATCTGTGCTTCGATCTAGTATTCTCCCATGCGCTTAAATTTAGTGTGTTTTTTTTCCCTATGTCCTCTCGTCACTGATTGATTTCTGGTCAAGTAAATGCCGCATATTTTCTTCAAATATCAACCCTCCGAGGCTTGATGTTCGTCGGACATTGGTTAATGATCCACTGGGCAATGAAACACGTTTTTCTATGAGCAAACGGCGCTGCGCATATTATCGATGCCTGTTGCATTCAGTTCGTTGTTATCGATTAATTTTACGAGTCAGGATGTTAATGGTGTGCAGACCCGCTGACTCTACTAAGAGAGCCTTTGAGTTGCTTTGAGTCGTATTAGGCAGCTCCTGTCAATCATTCAATTTTATTTATGTGTAAGTGCATAGTTTGGTGTATACGATCATCGCCGAGCTACTTTACAGATTCAAAGCATAGCTACCAATACGTGGTCGAACACTGGGGGTTGCCTGAATCCATTTTCCTTTGAATTGCAATAAGGGTTCTTTCTTTACTACGTCCTTTCTACGCTATTATTCCCCTTTTAGCTTGAAATTGATCTGTGTTCTATCTCGACGTACAAACACATAGTAGTGGCAGGCTCGGACATGGCATGTGTATATACTTTATGCGACGCGACGCACCTCTCAGCCAGGCCCATTCCCTTAAGATTTCTGTCGTACGGCGGGGAAATGCGTCTGATGCTACCTGACCCCCAAGGATGCTGTGCTGTCCTTTCTATTTCGGCCGCCCCGTTTTTCTTGAAGGACCACGGTGAAAGTTGTCCTCTCCGCGGAATGGGTTCAGAATTTCTCTCGTTTGCCGTGCCGCTTTTCGTTGAGTGTTTAGTACGATCATGTTGGTTTGTCTAAGTCCGCAGGAGCTCAAGTCATATGAAGACAAGATATGAACGACACACCGGAAGGGGGGCTTCCTCTGTGAAATCCAAGGCTATCCGCCTACTCCTTGTCGGGCCCAAACTCCCGTTTTTTTTCCATCCTCGCACAAGAATGTTCTGCAGTTGGTAGTCTGCATAGAGTGATTTCCGAAATGGGCTGGTGCTCAACTTCCATACTAAACTTCCATACTGAATCCTATCGGCTCAGAAGCTCTTGGCTGGTACTTGTGACCATGCCTATATTTTTTTATAGCTGGGTTTAGAGGATTCTCTCCTGAACCTGGGTTCGAATCGTAGCTTCCTAATTTGGACTTCTCCGTCCAGCTTCTTTGGCCCAGCACCGGTGCTCGCTGCGTCATATTTGCTAGACGAAACACGTTCTTTCATGTGCTCACGTACTTGCGTCTTGCGGCCCAGCTGTTAGGCGGAGGCGTTCGAACAAACCATTGGTCTCCAATGGTTCAAATTGCCTTTCTGGCTTTGGACTCGCCGTGAGTCACATTGCATTCAGTTGTGAACGATCTTCGTCGAAATTCCCATGCATGCCGTGCTATTGTCCTCGATTCTTTGACATCGTAACACGTTTACTTGTACTGAACGAGACTTACCGCAGCGCTCGCCGCGGCATTCTGAATGAGAATGATTTATTTCAACATTTTACGAGTCATTTCCTCCGAAGTTCATTTCTATGTCTTATAGCTTTCGGAGTTTCCCATTGGGCGTTCAAGTCCCCGCTTCCCCTATTGTTCCTGCCGGGAAACAAACTTTGTTTGCCAAATCGGTGTGGGACCCACTAAACCGCTGTAAAGGTGAT